TTTTACACGAAAAATTTTGAAATCAACTTATATAGGATTTTATTACAGCAAAGGCTATTGATTTTTGATCAGACCCAGAAGCAGGTTTTGTAATTTTAGTTGAACACCAAAAACATTCAAGTTATATTTGTTTTATACACAGAGACATGAAATGAGACTCTCAGCTTTTGAAACTGTTCAAACTGGATCTGCTGTGCAACAGCACAGTCTGAGTCACAAGACTCTCCACTGTTTGGGTGGAAACATCCTGTTGGAGGACAGCCAACAGTTTGTGACACAGTATAATCTACAAAATGAATATAAAGACACGGAGCGCTGAGTCTCTCCTCTCTGCCTCCTCCACAGACTGATGGAGGCAGGAAAAGCTGCCTTCAGTCATCAATAGGATGGATCCACAGTAACAACAACTCTGAGTTCAGCTGCTGACCATCAACTTACTCTGCTTCTGCATCACAGATGAAGAACTAATGCTGAACTAAGCTGCACAAAGCTGATGTTAGCCAGGAAAACATTACAGAATGACTTTAATGGAGAGACCGTAAAAAATAACACACAGTTTGTTATGTGAAGAAATCAAACATGAGCTGAACAAACAGTAAAGTTCCTAAAGAAAAACTGTTAAAGGATGAAACAAAACAAACTTACAGTTTCTTCAACCACAGACTCCAACAACAAGCTACACTCCACACCTTGATACTAAACATGGATGCACAGGTGAGCTGTTTCCTGGAAGGAGGCGGGACTCAGCCTGAAGCTGGACAGGTGGGAGGGGCTTGACATGAACAATCAAGTTCATTTAACTCAGGGGTGTCGAACTCCAGGCCTCGAGGCCTGGGGCCTTTCTCTATATGCATAAGAGTGTCCATAAGTGCACGTGGCACCAGGACGCTCTAGACTGAAGGTTGATGACTGATTTTGTAATCGTATCACCAGACCTGCGGCCATATGTTCTGGACACTCGGGTAAAGAGAGGTCCTGAGCTGTCAACTGGTCACCACCAGGTGGTGAGTTGGATCAGGTGGCGGGGGAGGACGCTGGAAAGAATCCAGCGCGCCTAAACCTGGAAACACCTTGGTGTTCCACTGGACAAGCTAGAGGAGGTGGCTGGGTAGAGGGAGGTCTGTGCTTCTGTGCTTAGGCTGCTGCCCCCCGTGACCCGGCCGCAGATAAGCGGAAGAAGATGGATGGATGGATGGATGGATAGTAAACTTTTTTCTAAAAACTTGACTTTTTGGCACAAAATGACAACAAACTCAAACTATCTTAAACATCCTAGTCCATCACCATGTTTTCATATTCATATTTTGCAGGTGCATATGATTTTTCAATATTACAGAGTTATGACATATCATCATTTTATGATAATTATAAAAGTTATGACTGCCATTAACTTTTAGTACTTCTTTTATTACTTCCTAAATCTTACATCATTTGACACAGCCTATTTATTTCAATGAAAATTGAGTGCTCACTGCCCAGTTTGAACCACTGATAAGCCTGTATTAGTCCCAAATTTAAGAAAATCACATCGTTACAGCAGCAGCATGACACTAGCCTCTAGAAACGTTTTATACAGCACTGAAAGAAAGAATGAAGAGAAAAATCTTCATTTTAACTTACATGTTTCACTGACATTAATAAGTGACGCTCAGAGATCATGGCACTGTAAAATCATAAAAACATATTACTATAATACTAATTTAGCAGTACTCACTACAATTGAGGCAACAGTTTGCCTTAATTTTCTTTTACATTTTCTGTGAGATGTTTTTGAGTTTTCAATGTTCAGAGCTTTGAGTTTTCTTAATTACAAAATACAAAAGTAAAAAAAAATTGAGTTTTGCTGAACTGAAAGTAACTCATTGTACTCATTCCTTTTATACTTTGTCAACTTATTCACATGGGAAACATGAACGAAAACTTTACATTCTAGTTACTAAACATTTTTCATTTATTTATTAAACCTTTTACTTTTATTTCAGCCACATGTCAAATG